TCTCTCTCTCTCTCTCTCTCTCTCTAATAACTGCATTAGCCTGCATATCAATGGCCCAAGCCTCTGTTATTAGCTCTAAAATTATGTTTTGGAATTTGCATCGGAAGGTTTATCTTGAAATAAATCATCTGAACAATATCTTGAGGTGTGGTTGTGACACCAGACCGTTAAAATTATTAGATAAATAATGCACTCCCAAAGTGGTAATGTGGCCACGACGCTGGAGCCTATTAATGGAACGGTGTTTCTCCATTCTCAAACAAATGAAGACATTCGATTTTTATTGATTGAATGCAAGCGCTTGTTGCGATAGAAAACACTGTAACGGTTTCCACTGATTACGAAATATTTTTGTTTGCTTGGGTGGTCATATTATATAGGCCTATTAATAAGGAAGGTGGGCCCAAAAATGTTGTTTGTCTATGTCACAATAAGAGGTAAATCCGGCCCTGCATGCACACACAATGACAACTCTTTGTCATAAATTCCTGCATCTGCTTCAGAGTTGCTGTAGGCCTCTTGGTATCCTCTCTGACCAGTTTCCTTCTGGCTCTTTCATCCAGTTTGGAGTGACGTCCTGATCCAGGGAGGGCCTGTGTTGTACAAAATTCCTTCCACTTCTTAATAATAGACTTCACTGTGCTTCTAAACATCAATGAAGCCTTTGATTTTTTCTTTTTTGTATCCATCTCCTCACTTGTATCTATCCACAACTTTATCCTGGTTCTTGGAGATCTTTTCACTGTGCCTTGCCACCCATAATTGATTGTATGCTTCAGTTGCACTGCCAAGGACTGACATTTTCCAGGAGAGCTCTTTTCCTGCTGAGCGAAAAATAAATAAATGACTACAGCTGAAAGTCAAATGGCTTTGTGTGCCATTGAGAAGGTGATTAGCTACACCTGATTAAGTTTACAAGTCATTTTCAGGAGGGGGTGATCCTTTTTCCAACTCTGTGATTTTTTTCCTGACATGTTGGTGTTATATCTTTCATTTGGATGTTATAAGTTGCACTGAGTAAATACAGCTGGATAAAATAGAAACCGTGTCCGTCTTCATTTTATGCTGCAAAACAACAAAATGTGATTATTTTAAAGGGGGCTGATTCTTTTCTATACCCACTGTATTCCTCACATCCTCGTGAAAATTCTGTTAAGCAATATTGCCATTTTATGGGTTTGACTTCACAGCATGAATACATAAAGTTTATGTTATAGGTTTATTGCTTTGCCGTTTGCTGACATTGTTAGTGGAGATGTATATTGGAGAATATTTTTCGTAGATAACAAAAAAATGTACAGATTTCAACAATGTCACATTAGGTTGCTTTTTTCCATGCCTTCATTATTTTTGACTTTTAAATATATACTATAGATCTATATGTTTTAGATTTGCTTTCATGTAGACCTCTGCCACAGTATACAGACATCAGATTAATGAGACATGAAATTTCATTCGAATATGATGACGTCTTGCCTTTGTTACATTTTGTTTTTACCTTGTTTGCTTCATGGGCCAAAAGTGAAAAAAACCCTCTTTCATACCTACACCAACAGATTTATGGACATAATTATAACAGTAATTAAATACTCAGGAGAAACATTTTTGCTAAACAACAAGACCTCAGTCAAGGTAATTATTTCTTTGTTTGTACACTGTGGATAATTAAACCCATTAGACCCTGGTCATTAGTTTAAGAGTCCTTTATAAATCCCTTTTTCCTGTAGCACTGCAGGATTTCAAGATTTACAGAGTGGTTGGTGGGTATTATTTGTATTTGTTTAATTTCCAGTTGTAAATTAACTTAACAGTTACACTGTTTTTTTTCTGTTGCAGTACTTGTATTTAGTTTCACAGCTGTATGAAGCTAATATGAGGCTGGTTTTATAACAAATGAAATGGAACAATATAATTTGCTGCTTCAGTGCTAATTCAAACAACATTTCCTCTCCTGTTTTTGTTAATGTTAATTGTAGAAAATGTCTTTGTTTTTTTCCTTGTCTTAAACTGAATCTTTAAAAGCTGAAAATGTATTAATTGTATATTTGTTTCAGATTTGCCAAAGTTCAAATGAATTTTTCAGTTGCTTTCAGCAATGGAACAAATTATTTCAATGGGGGTTTTTATTTAACTGCCTTCCGCAATTTGGAAAATAAAAACTACCTCATTTTGGCCTTGGCGATCATCTACATTATCACCTTGCTGGGTAACCTTGTTCTTCTGGCTGTCGTCCTAATGAACTCCAGCTTACAGAACCCCAAGTATCTTGCTGTATGTAATCTAGCCATTGTTGACATTTCAATGAATAGTGTTATTATTCCTCAGATGGTGCCTGTTTTTGCATTCAATCAGAATTATGTTTCATTTGGAGCATGTTTTTCCCAAATGTTCTTCATGCATTTTTTTGGTGACATGGAATCTTTCTCTCTTGCTCTTTTGGCATATGACCGTCTGATTGCTATCTGCTGGCCTCTGCGTTACTCTACAATAAACACCAACCTGAGGATGCTGCTCATAATAGTAGGGATTTGGTCTCTGGTTGTTCTGCTTGAGATTTTCCCAGTTTTTTTTGCAGCCAGACTCCCTTACTGTGGCTCCAGAGAGGTACAGAGCTGCTGTTGTGAACATGGCCCGGTCTATAGGTTGGCTTGTACGGACACCTCTTACAACCGACAACTGGCTACAGCTAAGACTCTGACTGTTTTACTAGGCCCTTTGACTTTTATTATTTTCACCTATGTGATTGTAGTGGTTGCTGTGACACGGATTGCATCCATGTCACAGCGTTGGAAGGCCTTCCACACCTGTCTCACTCACCTGCTGCTGGTCCTGCTCTATTATATGCCTGTCATTCTAGCATATATACTAGGGAACCTGCGATTAGTTCAGAATGTGGATCTTTTCACAGCAATTCTGACGGTTTCGGTTACCCTTCCTCCAATGCTGAACCCCATCATCTACAGCTTAAAGACTGATGAACTCAGAGACAAGATAGTCAAGCTTCTGGGAAGGCCAAAAGTGACACAACAGATTATTAAAAATAGGGCCAATGGTTAACAACAATAACAATTTTATTCCTTTCAAAATACTTGTAATTTGTAAACTTGTCAGTTATGTTTAGCATGTCCTGAATTTGTCTCAAACCCAATGTTTGACCCAGTGCATTATGTATTATTATTGCATTGTATTCATGGTGAGTTCCTCATCTTTCAGTGCAAAAAAGAAAATAAATGACAGAAATATTATTTGGTTGATTTAATTTGATTTGTCTCTAATCCAGGATTTTTTCCCCCACTTATTTCTAGTACTGTAGTATTTGTAAATATCACATATTTAGATGTTTTATCTAGTCATTCACAAACAGTTAGCAAAATTAATAATTAGGTAAACAAAATACGGTTTCATAATGTAGTAAGTTCCAGTGTCCATAAAAAATCTGTAAATTTGAGAGCCTGAATGACTTTAAAATGAATAAAATTTAAACATACTTCACATACAGTCATCAAATATACCTTTAGTGTATAATGCATTTTAAAAATATATCTTATTTGATAGTTATTATGTTGCCACTCATGGGGGAACCAAGAAAAAGTATCTTTGGAGCTGTTTCACACTTAAGAACACTAGAGGTCAAAATAATTCATATGAACATATCTAATATGAAACACAGTCAAGGCAATTTGTCATTGGGTATTTCAGTGTGAAATCATGAAGATTCATTCTCTCATTTACCCACTAGATGGCAGAGAAAGACAAGAAACAATGCACTGCAGTTGAGCATTTGCACTTTAAAGGTTATGAAAGGCATACATGAAATTCTCTTTGAATGAAATGTTTTTGTGTAAAATAAACAATATCCTTAGAAATCAACTGATGAGTGAGTCTTTCATAACTCCAATATATAGCTTTATTACAATGCTATATTATTTTAGTCATTAGAGACACTCCAAGAATTTTAATAGTGTGTCTCCTCCCTTTTGAATGTACTCTTAGTAAAGCATATGCACAACACAACAACAATAAGGAGTCTAAAGAGTGATATAGGTTGTATTACAGAAACATCCGAACTCAGAATCCTAATCTATGTGTTTAGTAACCATGGCAGTTTCACTTAGGAAATAGAGCAGTTTCAAATCTTAAATCAAGAATTAAGATAGGAAGTTTCTTACAAAGACCAACTAGTTATACAATCACCAAATTACTTTGAATGTACAATTGAAAAAAAACACTGTTATATCAACAATATTCTCCCAAATGTTGTTTTAAATAGCACACAAAGAGTTGTTTAATTAATCATTTTCATATTAGAGAATGTTTTGAATTTGTTTGCAAACTTTGCAAACAAATTCAAAAATGTTTGCAAAGCTCTCAGGATGCTTTGATGTTTGAATAAATTATGTGGGTACTGTTATGAGATGATCATTTTCTGACTTTATTATTCGCGCTGTTGTTGTTGGTTCATCAATGATATATATGTGGTAATAGTTTTTGTGGTGATGTTTAAGATCTTTTTACTTAATGGTCTTTGATTTATTCAGGAACTGTGAATATACACTAGAATTCAAAAGTTTTGGGTCAGTAAGATTCATTTATTTATTAATCTTTTTTAAAGTAATTCGTTTTTATTCAGCAAGGATGCATTAAACGGATCAAAAGCGACAGTAAAGATATTTATAATGTTAACAAGGATTTCTATTTTAAATTAATTGCTGCTCTTTTGAACTTTCTATTCATCAAGAATCCTGAGAAATGTATCATGGTTTTCACAAGCATATTAAGCAGCACCACAGTTTTCAACATTTCTAATGATAAGAAATATTTCTTAGAGTGCCAAATCAGCATATCAGAATGATTTCTGAGGGTTCAGATTGCGCTAAAGATGGCTTTTACATCACAGGAAGAAATTACATTTTAAAATATATTCAAATAGAAAACAGTTCTTTTAAACTGTAATAACATTTCATGGTTGTACAATTTTTTTTGTATTTTTGACCAAATATCAAATAAATTATGCATTTTGTGAGCAATACATACTTCTTTCAAAAACATTTAAAAATCTTTTAAACGTTTGAATGATTTTATGCATGTTTACTTAGAGAAAGACCTAGAAACAAATCCACTGGTCACACATTGTCTGTGTTTCATCAAGATTTTATTCAGTCGCAACTTGACACAATTCTAAGTATTTTGTTTCTGATTTCTTTGGTTCTGAAACAGTATATAAAAGGATTTACTAGAGAAGGGCCAAGGATGGCCCCCTACCCTTCCTATTGTAAAACCACACAATCCGGGTCAAGACTATTCATATGAACATAGGAGCATAAAAACATACTATTACTAACAAGTGAGAAAAGCATATATGAAACATTTTCTTCTTGGCCTTTGAGGTCATTCTCAGAAGAACAGCGATCACTATTCCTATGTTGGACAGGCAAATGAACGGGAATGTCCCAAACAACAGTACGAAAGTCACTGTGGATAATGATATAATTTTAAAATATGGATTTGGATTTACACAAGTGGTTCTCATGAGAGAAGGATCAGCGCCATATTAGCGATTGCAAACATCTCCATTACAGAACCTAACTGGAAAGCAATAGCATATATCTGAAGAACGCAAGGGATATAAGATATGGCTTTATAACCAATGATCAGGATACCGATCATACTTGGACAGGCACTGCTGCCTTACAACATGTCCACTAAAGCCAAGTTGCAAAGGAAAATGTACATGGGTTGGTGCAAACACTTGTCTGTGGCAACAAAACATACTGTATATTTGCAGTGTTAGCAAGCATCGCAAACATATATACCACCAGCAAATCACAAACTCAGAAATGGTTTTTGCTGAAACATTTTGAGAGGACATGGTCCTTTGTAGCAAAATAATAATATTAATAGCAAACTTTAGCAATCAACCAAATAATCAAATAATTCAATCATTCTGTGGCATATTCCCTTGAATTGATTACGTGGCATCTAATAAATAATGTCCACCATCATTTTTTTTCAATCACAAAGGTTTCTCTGCAGATTTGCTCTTCTTCTCAGTCTGTCACTTGGCTTGCTAGTCCATTAATTTTTCCAGTCTACAAATGTCAGATCTGTATGTGTATATAAATGCCTCTCTATGTGATGTTTTATTAACACATTTCGGGAGGAGCACGCACAGATAATTAACATGGCCAGTTCATCATTAGTGATTACACCATTTATCCAATCGGCACAAGAGAAAACTCCTATAAATAACCAAGTACGTCCTACCTTTGTTATCTCTCGACATTCAGCATCCCTCCGCCACCCTGACCCCGCACGTTCAGCATAGTTTCTACCCCAGCACGGGGAGAAGCACTCGGGGGAGCGCTTTTGGGCCGGGCTGGACACCGAGCTCGGACCCTTTTCCCCGGACAGGGGGAGGGTGCCCCGGGCTTGGGAGTCTTGCAGAGCTCGGAGCTCTCTCCCTGGACAGCACGCCAAATACGCATAACCTTTATTTAATTATATGTAAGTGTGATCTCGTGAAACATGTATATAGGCTGGCATGGCCCCATGTATGCTTGGCTATTTTTCCTCTGATAGAAACTCAATCGATTGAATTATGTGTGTTTGTGTGTGAAGTTCAAAGTTCAATGCTGTAATGATGTGCCGTGCCCCTGAGAATACTAAAGGGTTGTGTTACTTTAGGACTTCATCCGCAAAAGGGTTTCAGCTCATCAAGAGGATAAAACAGGTAGACTTTGGGGAAACAAGACTCATTAGTGGGTGTTATTGTGGCAAGGTACCTGCTTGATTGGCAGACTGTGCCCTTTACTCATCCCTGCTATTCACTGTACATCAGCCTGTATGATTACAACTAAAGATTCAGTAATGTTCACAATAATAATGAACAATGAGAGCGAAATAAATTTCGTACGTTATTGATAAATACGTTATTGTTTTTTTCAATTATTAAACTACCAAGTGACCCTCCAAAATATTTCATGGTTAACGTTTTCATTAATACTGTGCAGAAGTATAAGACTGTTGTTTACTTAATTAAAAACAAGCATGGGAAATGTGCATCATTTTATTAAATCATTAGCTTGAATTATACTTGGGGATTTGACCTGGAGACCTCTAAATATTCTCCATGGAGAAGTTATTAAGAGAATCTCCAGACCTCAGGTCCACTTTCATTTGATCTTTTGTTCCAGTGGGACTATTTCATCATGTAGAGGATTAACATCTTTGTTAAATTGAATTTTGTTAAACTGAAATTATCAACACAATCAAATCTTTGTTGAAAAACCTTTGTGCACGATCTACTGCATGCCTTCTGTCATCTGATTGATAGATGATTTTTTTTAAGCAAGTAAAAGGCCTTTTAGTACAATTAAAAAATGGCCAGCTTCAGGTTATGGTACTGTGTCTTTTTGCTGTGAATTCTTTACAGATTTTTATAAAATAAACATAAGAATAATTCAATTGTAAGTCGCTTTGGATAAAAGCATCTGCTAAATGAATAAATGTAAAAAATATAAATAACAAATTTAACTAAGATTAACATTACTAGACTGAAGCAACTTGTTTTCTTGATTATCCATACATAATAAAAAAAATAGATGTTAAAATATGAGTTTAAATTATGATACATCAGGCTTTTGAGGAATGTTTATCTTATTGCTCAATCATCCTTGTATCGCATTGCATTATATGTTTTGCCCCCCAAAATAAAAACTATGCATGTAAATATTACTGGGAGATAAAGAGTGTTAATTGATATTTATTTGTCTTTAATGTAAGCAGTCTACTACTTTCATAAAGATCTCACTGATTTACCTTACAAGCTATCAGAATTTTAACTTACTTTCTGGTCATATAAATATCAGCATCTGCAGCTCAGTTTGAGCCTCTGAATAAAACTGAGGTGTTTTTTCCCTCATTGAGTAAGAGCTCCATATTCTCCTGGTGACCGTGATTTCACCAAGTACAACATGTTCCTGGATCGACATCCTTGTTGGATCCAACATTCGTATCAACCAATCAGAATTGAGGGATAACTTTTCAGGAAATATCTG